CCTGTCACTGCCCTGTGCCTTTCAGGTCCTCGAGTGCCTGGACTTGAGGGAATGCAGTGACAGTGTTCTAGAGATCCTGGCACAGAACCTGCAGAGCAAGCACAGGGCCACACATTACTTGGCACTCCGAGGCCTCGTAGTGCTGGGCAAGAATCCCTTGATGGTGAGAACGGGGCAGTGGCTGAAGATGCGCAGGCAGCGTGGGGCTGGGCAACGCAGTCGCTTGGCCTTGGCTGGGCTTCAGGCGCTGGGGTAGCTGCTCCCAGCTCTCCTGCCTCCCGCTTCAGCTGCCCGAGTGCTTCGCGACAGGTCTTTGGCCTCTGGGCCCTGTGGCAGCAGGATGGCATTTCACAAACTTGTGTTCCACACAGGCTGAAAAAATGTGGAGCCTGACTGAAAGTCTTGTTGAGTTCCTGTGGGATGCAGATGGAGAGATAGTTAGCATGACAGTCATGCTACTCAGCTTTATCGTCTTGGACAATGACATGCTGATGCCCCGCCCCATCACACTGCAGCTGCTTGAGGTGCTGCCACTCTTTGACCACATAAGTCTCACTGCTCCCATCCACTGCCACTGGGTGCTGTCCGGACACTTAGTGCCCTGTGAATTTGCAGGCCTGTGCCAGGCTGAGCCCCGTGCAGCCGATGCTGAGGTCTTTATTTCTTCCTTCCATACAGAACCACAGCCAGGTGCAGCGGCTCTCCATACTGCTCTTCCGAACACTGGTGACTCTTCCAGAAAGGGAAAAGGAAAAAAAGGCCCTGAAGACACCTCTTTGCCAGAGCCTGCTGCCCCTCTTTTTCCACTGCCATGATGAGAAGTGGCTTGATGCACAGGTGAGGATTTGTGGGCTGCTGCTGTTCCCCTGGCAGGGGGCTTGGCTGCCTCCTGCTCTGGCACCTGCCGAGCTGCAGCCTCCTCCAGGCCTTGGCACAGGGACGCAGGTCCTGCACCCTGCGCTGTGGGGCCATCTCCAAGTCTCTGCTGCTCNCATTGCTCCCTCTGGCAGCTTTCCAAGTCTCCCTGTGCCTTCTCCAGGTGCCCGCCATGGTGAGGTTCATCCACCAGTGGCTCCTGGCCAATGACTGTGCTGAGCACAGGCTGCATGAGGCCCTGCTGGATCTCACAGAAGCACAGCCAGATGATGAGTGATGACGCTCCTGCGTGTGGCCCCGTCCTGTGACAGGTATGGGGCCCACCTGCCCAGAGGGCTCAGGCCTCCCCAGCCCATCACCCTGTACAGCCTGCCCCAGGTGTCTGACGAAGAGAGACTTCCAGGGCCCTCTGGCTGCTGCCTTTCACAGCCCTGGCATGTCAGCCCCTGAGCCTGCTGCCATGCTCCCTTGCTGCCCCTCAGGGCTCTCTCCCCACAGGACTGGGCTGCCTGGCTGCTGCTGGCAGGGGGCCAGTGGGCAGAGGCAGAACTGAGCCAGCTCAGCTCCCCCCAGTGCTGTGTCTGAGACCCCCCTGAGACAGAGCTCTGACCCCACAGAGCTGCCATGGCCATGTGAAAGAGCATCATGGGCTCAGCCAGGACTGCAGAGCTGGCGCAGCTGATCCTCCTGAATGTGCTGGGGAGCTGGCCAGAGCACAGCATGTCCGATGGGGACGATGGGGACGAAATGGGTGTCTTTGCCCTGGCTGTGAGTTTCTGACACTGGACTTTGTTGGCCCCGAGGCCGCCTCTCCAGCAGCTCTCCATCCTCCTTCTCCCACTGCATCTCCCTGCCTCAGGCCCCTGGGCCTGAAACCTGGCCCAGGGGCAGCATCAGGCCCACCGGGCCCCGTGCTCCCCCTGCCAAGGTCTCTCCGGGCCTCTCCCTGCCATACTTGGGCCCTGCCACACGGACACCTCGGCACTGAGCGCTGTCTCGGGGGGCTTTGTCCTTTGCAGGCAACAGGAGTGGTGATGTGGAAGATCCTCCAGGTGCCCTGTCTGCCACGGATATTAAAGGTGTATTTCCCCCAGCTGTTTGTGCATCTCCTNCCCCCTGGCCGAGCTCTGGGCTCTGAGCTGGCAGCTCTTCCAGGGGTAAGGCCTTGACCTACCCTCACCATCTCCAAGAGGCTCAGTCGTGGTTGTGGTTTGGGAATCCAGATCACCTTCACCAACAGGTTCAGCTGCAAAGAAAGGCAGGACAGAACATCACCCGTGGCACTGCAGCAGATCCTCGGGCTGCAGGCAAGGCTCAGCCCTGGGGCACAGCCCTAGGCCTGGCCCCTGACCATTCTACTCTTCTCTGTGACTGCACAGAGCACACGGAAGGACACCGTGGCATTGCAAACAGGAGGAGGATGGACAGCTAAATGCTCCTTCCTCCCACTGACAGCAATCCTGTGGGATCCCTCAGTGCTCCAGAAAGGAGCTGGGCAAGGTTTACAGAATTCTTCAGCCCTGACTTAACGTTAACAAAAATGGCTGATGGGTGAGCTCTTGCCACATGGACACTGATTATTTTGCCAGTAAAAAGGGAAATTCAGAACTTGCCTCTGGCATTCGCCAAGACATTCAAAGTGTCATTCACCTGGACTTCCAAATCTTCCAAGGCGTGATCCGAATCTAGAATGGAGCAAAGACCTGAACCATTTCCTTTGTGTGCTGGGATCCCCTTCTGCCTTTGGGAACAGGGCGCTGCAAGGGGGTTGGTTAAGGCTACGGGAGCCAGGAGTGAATGGACAAGGCCAGACTGCACAGGGGCCTCAGGAGCTCTGGCCTGGCTCCTGGTCTCTCTTTGCAGGCCCTCTGACACATTCCTGGAGAGGAAACGGGGGCTGCCCAGGGCCCTGGGTGCTCTCTCCCTCCCCCAGAGGCAACCCTCCTTAAAGGCCTGGGGAAACCATCCCCAGCGCTTCCAGGGGAGCAGGGAGCGCTGTCCCGGGAAAGGGGAGCCAGGCTGCCGGGTCACCTGCTCGCCACCCTTGCAGCGGAGCAGCCTGGGCAGCCCTGGCAGGCAGGGCCACAGCCAGGAGGAGCAGGAGGAAGAGGCGCAGAGCAAGGGCCATGGTGCCTTGCCCTCTGCCAGTCCCGCAGCTCTTGCTGCCACCGCTGTCCTGACACCGCTGTCCCAATGTCAGCACCACTGCTGCCACCGCCGCTGCTGCCGCAACAGTTGTGCTCAAGGACTGAGTGCTCGCTCCATCTGCTGCTGTGCAACCACAGGGCTCTGGCACCTCTGTGACCTCAGAGCCAACTGTGACCTCAACCTGCTGTGACCCCTGAGCCTGCTGTGACCTCATGGCCTCAGCTGTACCCCCAGAGTGTGCCCGCATCTGTACAAATGGACTGCCTTGATTGTTTTTGTGTATCCCAGGTCCATTGCTCAGCAAAACCTTATTTGTCACCTGCTGACATTGTGGGTCAAACTGTGTCCATGGAGATGCTCTTGATGGCTTCCCTCTTTTCCTGGGCTTGCCACTGGAGGAGGTCCAGGCCCAGATGATGCCAGGGAAGGAAATGTGCCCTCAGCCCTGGGACGCTCAGCATGGGCTCCCCCAGCCCTCAGGACCCCACCACTGGTCACGGTAGCCCCTGCCTGGCTCCTGCCTACCCACACCGTGGGCATCCATGGCTGCTCCTGGGCACGGAGCTGAGCCAGTGCGGCTGCCAGGTGGGCTTTGCTGCTGCTGACACCCGGACACTGGGCTGACAGCTCCATCTCTTTATTGCAACAGAAATGCTGGGCCAAGCTCTGCCCACCTTCAGTAGGGGCCAGAGATCAGTGCCTGTGCCTTCAGGGGGAGAGGACCTTGTTTGGGTGCTGGCAGCACCTGCACAGCAACAAGTTGGTAAAGCAACTGTGACAGGGCATGGGCATGGCGATGGGGAATGTCTCGTACAGGTGTCCCAGACTGAGGCTTTTGGCCACTCCTGTGAAGCTGCAGACGGACGCCTGTTGAAACAGGAGGTTGCTGAGCTCCCAGTTGCTGCTGGCACACAGAGACCCTCCTGCACAGCAGGAGATTCCCACTGTGCTCAAAGTTTGCCTCTGAAGACTGAGAGGTGAGCTTCTCAGAAATCCCAGAAAATATCAGGGAAAAGGTTTTAGGTTGGTTGTTGTAGCTTGGTAAGAATGTCCAGTGGGAAAAGAGCCTCTCCAGTATGCTAGGTGCCTTGTGATGACTTAGTTCTTCTTAGAGTAAAGATTACCAATTAAATGAAGTTTTATTTTTTATTCTGCAAGTATTAAAGTGTTCTAC